CTCCTGCCGCTGTGTGCCGAGAGGCGGTGGGACCATGAAGATGATCCACTTTCGGAGCTCCAGCGTCAAATCGCTCAGTCAAGAGATGAAATGCACCATCCGGCTGCTGGACGACTCGGAGATCTCCTGCCACATCCAGGTGGGGAGGTGCGGCGGGCCGGGGCGGCGGAGCTGGGCTGGGGGCCTCTGCTGTGGAGTGCGCGGGTGGAGAGCCCAAGCCCGGAGGAGCTGGCCAGGAAGCCCGGCTCTGTCCGGAGAGGCGGGGGCCCGGCGGGAGGCTCAGTCCCCGCCGGCGCTGCACGCGCGTCCATCGGCCCTGCCCCTGCTGGGACTGCTCGTATCTCGCTGCGCCCAGGGCTGGGGCGCGGAGCGGCTGCCTGGGGACGCCGAAAGCGGAGACCTGCGGGCTGAGAGGGACACTGGCCTGTTACCCGCTCATCCTCCTGCCTTCCTCCACGTGGAGAGGCACAGCCAGCTAGGGCTCACGCATTTCTGCCTCCCGCGCCCAGGCTCCAGAGGCACCCTGGGTCCGGGCACCCGCAAATCCAAGCCTACTGCCCCTTTGCGGTGGCACCTGCTGCTCGGAGAAGGCCAGTGGCTAAGTTTCCCCCGCGAGAGGAACTGGTAGCCCTGGACTCCAGCATCCAGGCATGGGATGCGTGCTGTACTGAACTGGAGCCACAGGGAAAGGAACATGTGGACTTCAGCGTTTCCCAGAAGGAAGCTGGTCTGTAGGGCCAGCAGGTGGAGAATCCTGAAGGCACCTGGGGCCTGGAGAGGAGAGCCCCTGGGAGTCTCCACCCAAGCTGGAGAAGGCTAGTTGTTTGGGTAAAGGCAGGAGTGGGGCATCCCTTTCTCTAGTAGTAAGTGCTTCGAGCTCCAGAGCTAGTGTGAATGGCAAAGGTATGTGTCAGCCCTCGGGCATGCATGTGTGTGCGTTTGCAATGTGTGTAGAAGCAGGAAGGTGTGCACCTGTCTCCCGTGGCCCCAAAGATGCCCCACTCGGCGCTGATAGTTCTGAAAGGTCGTGTCAGGACTCTGCACAGTTGCTTCTGACTTTAAACAGTGTTTAATTATTTATTTGTGGGATTTCCTCTCCTCACTGCTGGAGCTCCCAGACTGTAGTGATGGTGGTGCTGGGGGTGTGTGGGGCAGGTTCCTGCATAAATAAAAGGTCTTTCCCTCTAGCTCCCTCTTTGTCCTCTCCTGTTTTAAGAATTTTTGTTAGAGTTCATGAAACAGGGACTGTGCAACTCATTTGTAAGCTGACAGCTGGACAGGTTTCAAGTCAGGAAGGTGGTGCCCCATGATCTCCCTGGCAAGTAGGCTCGGTTGAATTTTCTAGAAGATCTTGAATTTCATTCTGAGCTAAGCACCGCTGGGAAACTTAATAATAAAGGGATTAGCAGCACAGGCAGTTTTTCTGCTGCCCCCATGGCCGCATCCAAATGCTTGGCTTGTACCGTCCTTTGATCCAGAAAGGCTGGTTTGTGCGCTTAGCTCTAAGTCCTCCCAGGGACGGAAGGGTGGCTTAGGTCATGATGAACATGTAGAGAAGGACTAGCAGCACCAAGTAACCCTGCTGGGGACTGCTCACCTCTCAGCGGTGGCCTGCCGGGTCTCCAGTGGAGCTGACATTCTCTCTCAAGACAAAACCAAGGACACGTATTTGTCTGGTGTCCTGGGAAACAGTACTTTCTTAGCCTAATAACAGTTTGGAAAGTTGGAGTTATGGTCTCAATGATGCCAATGTAGTTAAAATGACACATTCCAAAGGGCTGGCCAGATAGCTCAGCAGACTAAAGCTCCTGCTTAGGGGTTCTAGGCACGATCTCCTCGTGCCATGCTGGCCCTGCCCCCGGGGCCTGCTGAGGCGGCAATTGAGACTGGGTGTGGTGGCGTGCAATCCCAGTACTTGGGAGGCTGAAACCAGGACAATCACTATGAGTCCGATCTACCTACTGAGACCCTGTAGACCCTGTCCTAAACATAAAAAACCAGCCAACCAACCAAACAAAAACAACAAAATGTTGATATTGACATGGATTAAAGAAATTATGGTGCATCTTTTCTGCCTCATCTGCCCCTCCCCCAGGGTGATTATCCTGTAGCCAATTAAAATCATCTCAAAGATGCTATTTTTGATCATTTTGGGCTTCATATTTCCTACCATATTCCAAACGAGAATTTGAAATTTTACTTTCAGCTATCAGTTTATAAAGATTTCCATTTGCTTAGAGAACAAAAAGATTTAAAATACAAAACAAAAATATATGGGGTGGCTAGCACTTATTCCGGAAAAATTGATTTGTAGGTCTTTCCTCGTTTTCTTCCTTCCTCTTTACCTATGTTCCTTCCTTGCCTCTCTTCCTCCTCTGTCTCCTTCATGTTCCTTACCTTTGACCTCCGCCCCATCCTTCCTCCCAGAGTATCTCCAGTGAAGGGAGCACGTGGATGGCCTGGAGTGTTGTGCATGCCTTCCTCATGGCTACACTTCCCTCACTCTGCAGACTCTAGACCCATGTTAGTTGTCCTGTACCCTCAGGTAAAAGGAGTGGAACCTGTGATGCCCAGAAGGGGGGAAACTCAGGCACAAATCCTTGGGGCGATCATCTGCCTGCATTCCCTAATAAGTGAACATCTGAGACATCAAGAAGTGGGCTGTTCAGATGGTTCTTGTTGGCAAGGTGCTGGAGGGATGGTGGCTGCTGTGGCCGATGCAGGGTCACTGGAAACCTTCAGGTAGCTATAAGCACCATCTTTGAGCATATTCTGCACACTGGCCCATTCTACACAGTACGAGTAACCTATGCCACAGACCTCTGAGGTAGGCCTGGTTCCTAGCTTATGAATAAGAAAGCTGAGAAGCTGAGTGTTTGTGGCTTGTCCAAGGCTGAATCTAAAAAGAGACAAGTTGCTGACATTTAAATCTAGACCTGTCTGGCAGCAGTGCTTGTATATATCTTTGACATATGAACCCATTGTTAAAATAGCAGTGCTTGCAGTGAAACTTCTAGACGCTGACGTAGGTAAATATAATATGAAAGGTTTGAACCGGGGACTGAGAACCAGCTGGGATTCATGAACTCAGTGCAAAGGCCCTCCTTGCCAGTGTGCACCAGTAAAGGATCCACAGTCGGGCAAGACAGCTGGAACCCCAGGGCTGATTGGGATGCCCCAGTCCAGAGGCTGCTGGGGCCACTGCCACATTTGGGGAATGCGATGTTTGCCTTTAAGGGAACCATATTCAACCATGCCCTCTTAGATTTTACACATGTTTCTATATACTTCAGAGGGTGAAATGTAGCACCCTCAGTTTCTCCCTGTGCATTAGAAGATGAAGTCTGAGCAAGCCAGAAACTAAGTGTTGTGTTCCAGCTTGGTGGTGAAGGAGTGGCTATGGAGGGGTTCTGTCCTTATAGTTGCAGTCCACAATGTGGGAAGGCAGAGTAGTATTCTGGCTGCTCCACCTCATAGCCTCAAGAAGCTTTGTATTTACAACTATATGGATTATAGGAAGCAGCTTTTACAAGGCAATGACTTTTTTTTTTTAAATGTGTTTAGTACAGGGTCTACAGGGTCTCACTACCCAGATCAGACTTGTAGCGATTCTCTTGTCTTCAGCCTCCCAAGTGCTGGGATTACAGGTACATGCCACCATGCCCAGTCTCAATTGCCATCTCAGCATGCCCCAGTGGCAGGGCCAGCACGGCATGCAGGGGATCGAACCCCAGCCGCTGCGTTCTGCCTAAGCAGGTGATTTAGTGCGCTGAGCTATCTGGCTGGCCCTAAGGCAACAGTTTTTAAGTATTTCTTTTCTAAATGATATTTTGGTGGTCTTTTGGCAAAGAAAAGTTCCAAACACAATATAGCAGTGCACTTTTGGCAACCTGGTGGCTGGTTCCAGTAAGAATCATGGACAGCCTTATCTGTGTCTCTTAACAAGGTCTAGGGTGCTGTCTCACCACTGGTGTGTGAAGAGTCATGTCAGCTGAAAGAGGAATTCCTGATAGTCATGGAGCAAAAGAGGAGACCAGGGCTGCAGAAGAGGCCCATGGAAGGCAAAGGGTGGCTTAGTGCTTCTCCTGGCTTTGCCAATTGAGCCAACTCTTTAAATCTGGGTCTTAGAGAAGATGTCATTTAGCTCCAATTACATCTGTCAGCCTTGATGCTTTAGTTAGCATGGAGTCCTAGCCATCTTCTGTCAGGTGATTCACAACTCTTTCCAAAGAGTTTCCCATTTTTAATGCTGCTTTTTTGAGAACAATGTAGACTTTCCATATTCTTTATTCTTTAGCAAGACCTGCTAAATATAACTGATATCTTTGAAACTGCTTGGAAATTTGTATTTGTATTTGAACAGCAGTTGTGCATAATGTTTAGGACATAGTAGACAATGTTTGCATAGTATTTGGCATAACAGTAGGCACAAAATAAAGATAAATGTAGATTAGGTAATTTCCTTTTTAGACTACTAAATTAATAACAATGTGAACATCTTATTGTTCATGTTATTCATCACTAAGTCCCTAATACTTTGAGTAAGACCGGACATATAGAGTGTGTTTCAACCTCTAGTTGAACGAATGAGTGCTAAACTACACAGTATGTCATTTAGATCATTACTTACAAGGCTAGCTTGACAGCATTGGATTCGGAATCAGCTGTGTAGTTTATGTCTGTTACCAACCAGTTATGTGATGAGTGAATCATTTCATATTTATAAAATAAAAGATTTAGATTAAGTAGTATCTCAGTTACTTTTCTCTTGTTGCTGAGACAAAATACCAAATGCCCAGAATTAAGGAAGAGAGGTTTATTTAGCTTGCAGTTTGTGGAGCTTTCAGTCCATACTTCTCAGGCTCCAAGGCAGAGTGGCACATGACAGAGGGCAGCAGTTCATGGAGGTAGAAGACAGCAAAAGCAGTAAGAGCTAAAAGGAGGCACAGCAATGAGCAAGCCTCTTTCCCTCCCTTACATTGCATGCAGGCTACCTAGCCCAAGGCAGGAGTTGCACTTCCACCTACAGTCCCAGCACTGGACCATGAATCAGTCAAAAACTCAGAAGCCTGATGGACAGATGCAGCTTAGAGAAATGCTACAGTTAAACTATTCCTCAGAAAAATTTATTTGAGCAAA